GCATTGAACCTTATGGGAAAATTTGATTCGGGTTGCGACCAATTCGGGTCACGACCAGAGTCGCGGAACGAATTAAGTTCGTGACCCGAGGTACCAATGTATTTATGAAAGTTTCTGAGTATTGTCTCCATGCTGTAATCTAAAATATAATGCCCTCATAGCCATTCTGAGTGAAGAATGTAAGTCAAAAGAACCATGCAAGGCTTTTGTGTTTTTTCTGTAACAACTGTGTCTCATGACAATCTCAGTTGGAAGTAGACTGTGAAATGAAAGAAGAATCTGCTGTTTTGAAGAAAAGACATGTTCAAAATCCCATTGCATATAACAAAATTCTTGATTGCTCCTAAAATCTCTCTGAATCCCAGCCAACATCCTCATTCCTGTTTTGGGAATAGAATTTCTTTTTCTCAACAATAGAATGTAGTCAAATCTCAAAGAAATAGCACTCTTTTAAAAGAAGACTTACTAGATCAAATGAAAAGCTTCATGTACTCCTCTGTCCTCTTTCTAACATAGTGGCCAAAATAGGTGTGTCTGGAAAAAATGACAAGCTGGTGCTAAAATCAACCTTCCTCCTTAGTAGCTGGTATTCAGAAATAAACTACTTTGAATCTCAAAATGCCATTTGGTCATCATGTTATCACTGAGAGACTTTTCCTCGATGGTTTTAAAATAACCTAAGCTTTGTGTTTCTCATGGTCCTAACTTACTTCAAGTTTTGGAAAGCCATAGAACTCCATATAATTATGGAGTTGGAAGGGACCCCAAGAAGCATCTAGTCTAGACGCTCTGCAATGTGCAGGAAAACCTATTACATAATCTTTGAGAAGTGGTTGCCCGTCCTCTTTTTAAAAGCCTTCAGAGATGGAGAACCCACAACTTGCATAGGTAGACTGTTCCACTGTTATTTAGATCTTACCGTTATTTAGATCTTTCCTTATATTTAAATTGAATTTAAGTAGCTGCAACTTCTACCCATTATTTCTGATCCTACCTTCTGTGGCTATGGAAAATAGTATCCGATCCTTTTCTCTGAGCCACCCTTTTATACAGTTGAATGCTGATCTCATGTCTCCCCTTGATCATCTTTTCTCCAGACTGAACATCCCAGTTTGGATGTTCTCCTTGAGCCTATCCTCACAGTGATGTCCTCAAGACCCTCTATCCTCTTTGTCACCTTCCTCTGAACCTTTCAGTCCTTCCTGGGTCAGGAAACAGACTCCACAAGAACTATTAGAACTCTACTCTGTTGTTGCAGGGTATAATAACAGAATCTTGAAAGCCTGACAGTCTCTCTCCCTCATCCTAAATCCAAGAGAATCAAAGTGGGGCAGCCCTAATTTTCTTTCTCACCCTCACCTTTTTAAGGCTCAGTTGGTGTTTACATAACTGGTCTTGTATTCCTTCTTCAAGGTTATCTCCATACTTCTTGACAGGACCTGTTTTTACCTGTCTGTATCCTTCTAGAAATGTGGTCCCCAGGATTGTATCCTGTCCTTCCTGTGTGGTCTCACAAAGTCCAGCATAGAAGGGAGTAAAGATCTCATGTATCTGTGATCCCTTGCTTCTTCTAATGCCACCCAGAACTGTGTTAGCCCTTTTAGCAGGTGTTGGAGTTCGTCTTGCTGTCGAACCACACCTGGCCTTCTCCAGTGTGTGCCATGTAGTAATTCTCCCTAAATATAATACCTTACATTTCTCCTTAATAATGACATCCCCTCAGCCCAGTCTTTCAAACTCTCCAGGTTATATTGCAGTCTTGTTCTGTCATGCTGGGTATTAGAAAAACTGGAGACAAAGTGGTTCACCAGGAGTTGTTTTTTTTTCCCTGGTCTGTGACTGCAGGAATATTTTCTGGTAGCAGTGACTGCAGCCAGCTGGAAATGGCTTTCACCTCTAATTTGGATAGTAAACTTGCGTAACTTCATTTGTTTTTCATTTCTGTGAGCAAAATGTGATTATATAAAAATAAATGATAGGCCCACCCTGTGGTTTAATTAGTGAAAATTATTTTACACATCTGTTGTTTGTACGGCAAATCTAATGAGTGACTTGTAATTGTTTTCTGCAGAATTAGTTTAACATTCAGAATGACACCTTGACTTTTATCTGTCTACCTTATGGTTTGAGAGACCACTAATGTGCTTATTTTCCCCTTGTCTTCACATTCTTCGCCTTTCAGATGAGTGTTGATGTGCTGTGTTGATAGTATTGCTGTGCTGTCATTCTGAAATGATTTTACCTGATAATTGCATTTCAAATGGTAGCATTTTAAAATGTGATTAATGGTAGTTATCATACTGGTCTCTCTGCACTTGTGAACTAGAAACATTCGTCCTCTGATTTTGTTGAGAGACGATGGAATCGTGTCATGAATGTAGGCAGCAGTTCTTTAGTCATAGCTGTGACCTGAATTAGACTTGTGAAAGCTACTTAGCTGGGAATAAGAGGTTTGTAGGGATGGAAGATAAGGGTTAACTGACATCCGACAGACCAGCTTGCAGGCAGGTTGGGGCTCATAAGCAAAGGCATGGTACTGCAGAGTTGGCTTGAGTTTGAGCTCCAAATAAGAAGCAGTGCAGACAATCTCTGACTAGATTTTTTTTACATCATTTTGAAAATTAAACAGTAGCCCCACGGTCTGCTCATATGATTAGGATATTGATGCTCTGAGAAGAGGAATTTTCTTCTTCCTTCCATGCTACTTACCTGCCATTATCATCTCAATAAAAGAAACGTGAGGATAATAGCAGCTTTTAAAAAGTTCCTCCCCCAACCACATAGTGCGGATGCCAAGTTCCTTTCTGCTTCCAACTTTGACTACGTGGATGTGTTGAAAAAATCACTGGGAGAGCTGATTCTGCATCTCATCTGACTTGGTCCCACTGTTTATAGGACCTCTGAAGAACCGCCCATTCCTTCTATTCCCTGGCAGCCCCAGAATCTGTGGCTGAAAACTGCTTGTGCTGTTTGGCTAGCCTAGTACATTGGATATCACTCTTTTGTTTCCAGCCTTGGAGGAGGAGAGCCGTGTCAGTCCGTGGTGGCAAAATATCAGGAGTCTGGTAGCATTTTTTCAGGCTAACAAATTTTATTCAAAGGCAGACACTTTGGTGAGCTGAAGCTCATGAAAGCCTTTGCCTTTCAACAAGCTCTGTTAGTGAGAAGAAGCGCTACCAGACTCCTCCTGATTTTTTAAATGTTTTTTCAAAACATGTTATTATTTGAAGGTGCTGCTTTCCTTTTATGGATGATCTCAGCAGTCTAACATGCCTGAAGCATCTTACTTTCTGCCTCTCTCTGCAGGAAATCAAGTCTGCTCATAAGATGGCCAAGAGGTACTCCTCCATCCCCCAGATGTGGTCCAGGTGTTTACTGCGCCATTGCTACGGCCTGTGGTTTATCTGCCTTCCTGCTTATGTCCGAGTTTGCCATTCCAAAGTAAGGGCTCTGAGAACAGCCTATGATGTGTTGCGCAAGATGCACACAAAAAAGATCGATCCACCCGATGAGGTAAAGAGACACGCTTCCTGGTAGCTGTTGTCGTCATGATGTGCGAAAGCTTTCTGAGAATGAAAAAATAACAAACACCATCTTTTTTTTTTTGGGGTCAGGTATGCTACCGGGTGTTGATGCAGTTATGCGGACAATACGGTCAGCCTGTCTTAGCTGTGAAAGTCCTTTTTGAGATGAAAAAAGTTGGGATTGATCCTAATGCCATTACATACGGTTATTACAATAAGGTAAATTAAATATTTGGGATCGAATAGCTTCCAATGAAATGGAAATGCCAGATCACTCCCATGATTTTCATTAGCGCTTGCTTCCCAGGCCGCTTCAGCGTGCTCTCCATACGGCATACACACAGGCTTACTGTGATGGAATGGAATTATGAAGGGCAGGCTCAGGGAGATAAGCGTGTTCTTAGTTCACCGGAGGAGCGTGGGAAGTTCAAGAGGATGAGGCTGGCACCTCCCTGAGGAATTCACGGTGTTGTGGCTGGCTGGGTTTGGAGCTAGGGTTTAGGCTGGGGAGATTGGTGTTAGGGGTTGGCCAAAAAACTCCCAGAGAATAAAGAAAATCTGATCTCCT